TCAACTCCGATGAGAATTTTACAATGCTTGCATGTTTTTCTACAACCATTTATCCATTAGGTAGTATGATGTTAACTGACACTATTGTCTTGTAATCATCAAAGAATCTCATGAATGAGCAGATGTGGTCACTAGCACCATAATCAACTATCCATGATCCAAGATTTGAATTATTAAAGGAGTATGAGATTTGAGCAATACCTGACGTAGTATGATTAATATTATGAGATACATGATTCACTTTTCTAGTAGAAGCATTGTTAGTCAAGTTTGATGCATACAAGAAATGCAAAAGTTGATCATATTGCTCTCGAGCGAATCCATAACTATTGTTTCCTCTATAGCTTTTGGATTCATCAACATCCTCCATTTATTCATTCAACTCAACACAATATTGGCTAGCCACTATAGGATCTTCGCCATAATGTGGAGGAAAATCATGTTTCCTATAACAAGTGTCAACCGTGTTGCCATTTCTTCCATAATGTGTACAAACTTTCAAGTTGCCCGATGTGAATGAAGAACCATTGCCATAGCCTCTTTCATGAGGTATGTGATAATCAAATGCATTAATGAGGATCTCGGGTTCATCTGATACTGAATTCTTGAATTTGTGTTCATGTTGCATGACCATGGAAACGATCTTGTTTATGCTAGGAAAATGATTCATGAGCATAATTTGAGAAAGTACCAAATCAAAAGAGTCATTCAATCATGTAAGAAATCAGATTGAACAAGTAATGTCATGTTGATGTTTTGCATTGTTCAATCTTGTAATGCATATACATCGATGTAGACAAGAGCAAATAGGGATAAGTAGTCATGCTTCAAGTTTTTACCAAAGAACTTTCAAAGCAGCATAAAACTCTGAAACTGAATGTGATTCTTGCTTCAAATTAAAGATGTCACATTGTAACTCAGAGATGTGAACATAGTCACCTTGTGAGAAGCATTCTTTGAGTTTGTTCCACACGTCGGCTGCATTTTCAAGGAAAATAATGCTTTGAGTGATAGCTTTTTCAACCGATTTCATAATCCACAAATGAACCAACATGTTATATTTGTTCCTAACTTTGAAACTTTGATCAAATTCTTCATAAACTGGTATAGATCCATTTCAAAATGGAACTTGTTTTTTTCGCCAAGTGCACGTCTCATAGATCTTGCCCATGCATGATAATTGGAATGTGTAAGAACTGGTGTAACAGACACCGATGCAGGACCATCTAAAGGATGAATGTAGTAAACATTTCCAGGTGGCTGAGAGGAATCTTGAATTGAAGCTATTGGTGCTGCAATAATGCAGACGCCATTGATGATTGCATTTGTACCACGCACCATGTTGAATGTTAGAAATGAATAGAAACACAATGAAACGATTTGAAGTAGGGATCATAAGAGCTCTGAAGCCATTTTGAAGTTTGATTAAACATGGTAAAAGTGAAGAAAGGTAGATAACTCATTGAAGAAGAAAAAAGAAAATTGAAAAGCTTTCATTGAATCTATTTGGCATGTTAGTTACAAATTATAAGATGCTAGATTCTAGGGGTTCTCAAAACCAAACAAACCCAATAGAAAATTGTAAACCAAACTAAACCAAATCGAAACCGCAAAAAACTGCATTTAGTTCAGATATATTTGGGTCATCTTTTAACAAAACCGCACGGTTCAGTTCTGTTTGCGGTTTAAATTTTGCAAACCAAACCAAAACGAATCAAACCATATTATATTACAACCTAAATTTTACTTAACTCACATCCAACACAAATCTAAACTTATTATACGTTAGCCTTATGATCACAAACAATTTTCTCATCCTTACACTTATGGTTTCAATCACTACTACAAATAACGCATCTAATGTCGAACTCAAATTGAGTTTTGCCTCGGCACCTGAAGCGAGGTAAATAAGACCATCATAAAAAGTAGGAACTTATCACCTTGGTGTTTAAAACACCGAGGGTTATTTTAATAGCGCGTGGGTTCGATCCACAATGTCTGCATTTTTATTATTTACAAAAACTAGCATCTTTTTTATCTCAATTTTCAAATAAAACCGAGGGGTGATCATTTTTTAAATAAAAATCATTAAATTGTTTACCTAGACTATTTCATTTTTTTAGACATGAAAAAAACTAATTGTCCATGAAGATCAAATACTAGGTTAAGTAAATTAATTTCCCGAAGATCTAGATTTCAGATCTTCAAATCATATAATTTTAGGGTAGATCAAATGCTGGGTGCAAGGAGATCTTCAATCGTTACATTGAAGACCTAGATTTTAGATCTTCAAATCATATAATGAAAGGATAGATCAAATGATGTGTGCAAGGAGATCTTCAATCGCTTTTGCATCCATTTGTTTCTGATATGAACAACAAAACGGTTAGATAAATAAATAATCTTTTGCTCAAATAAATATTTAAGAACACAAACCTTAAACCCAAATAATTTTCTGCTCTTGCAATCCATCATAGATAACTCTTCATGGCAAACACTCTTGCAAATCTAAAACTCTTCATGACGTTACAATGCTTGAGAGGCACAAGTCTTGATATTCAGTATGCTTTTATAGTGGAGGTTTTTTATGTTTCACGCGGATCACTAATGGTAATGTCTTGAGAGTTGATAGTCATGAAATGGATAGCGAGGATTTGATGAAGGATTTGTTAAATGTACCAATTTTAACGCTAAATTTTACGTCGATTTTTTTAGAAAAACCGACGTGTTATAACATTTTAACTTAGAAATAAAAAATACAATTAAATGGAAGTTCCAATTTTAACGCTATATTTTAACGCTAGAGTTTTCCTCGGTTTTGTAAGAAAATCGACGGGTTAGAATATTTAATTTACAATTAAAAAATATAATTAACAGGGAATTTAGAACATCATGGTGGAGCTCATGCATTGGAATCGTCTCTTTTAGGTTATCACTAGAATAGTAATGATCATCTTATTTTAAATTCATAATGTCTCTTTTATATTATCAAAGTCGCTTTTGAGCTATTTAAGCGTCTAATTACAAACTCATTGATTCAAAGTCTTTTCTTATTTTCAACTTCTCATTACAAACTCTTTGTTTCCTTGTTACGAACTTATCAAAAATGGATGCAAATTTATTGTTTATTATAAAAAAAAGTACGTTAACTTCAATGATTTCGAACGTTTAGAAAAAACATTGAGAGAAGTTGTTAACAAATAAAAGTTTAGTGGTTATTTTAACATTCTACATGGCCCCATATACACTAACCTTGTTAAAGATTTATGGATGAATGCGTCTGTTGTGCCAGCTGGTGATAAAGAAATCATTCACTCATATGTCAATGGCAATCATTTTTTCATTACTCCATCACTGATTGCTTTGACAATCAACTGTGAAGAGTTTGATAGTTGTGTTGAACATTATAAATCCAACAATGTCTATGCAAAATACCTTTACCTATTATATGCCAACAAAAAAAATCTCGCTAGTCCTGCTTCTCTACGCTCTATTCCAAAATTTTGATTTCAACTTCTAGTGTCAAATCCTCTCCCAAGAGAGAAAGACATGGAAACGCTTACTTGGTATGACAAGCATCTCTTGTTATTCATCACCTACAACATGAGAGTTAATCTTCCTCTTACCATTTTCAACTTCTTGAAGAAAATGATAGAGACTTCTTGTGAGGAAAAGACTTTCCTCATACCTTATGGAAGAGTTATTTCTGAACTTTTCAATAAGTTAAGGATGATTAGGGGTGATGTTGTAGTTAAGTGGACTAAAAAGTTTGAATTTGTTGAGTAGTTTTATTTGTTTGTGTTGTTGCGGTTGCTTTGGTGATGTTGTAGTTCCTATCAATGAAATATTTAAATTTTACTATTATTGTCTATTCTTGTTTAACCCAATTTTTATGTTAAGTCGTTGAAAACAGTTAAAAATATGGAAAATAGGATTCAAAGTGAGGTTCCTTATAGCTATATTACCTCGGTTCTAAAACAAAAACAAGATAACATGTTTATTATTACTTTATGGATTAAAAAAGGTGCTAACTTATTATTGTGTTACCTCGACTTTTTATAACACCGACGTAACATTTTTATTATCTTATTAATAAAATCAAACATTGCGCTCCCGGGACATATTCTCTCGTTTTGTTAGTGTGTTGGACATGAAAGATCCGTCATGAAATATATTATTTGTTGTAGTGAATCTCACTCTTATCAAATCTCTCATAGCATTATTGCGTCTTCTTCACCATATACATCTAACATCTTGTTCTCTAATATCTACTCTCTTATATTCTTTCTTTTTTACCATCACTAATCTATCATCTCTTCTATTTTTTTTATTTGAATATAATATTTTTTATATTGTTTTATGCTATTATTTTATGATATTATTTTATATTTATTATTTCACTTTTGTCTAATCTAATTTTTACATATAAAATGGGAAGTTGTTGTTCAAATATTAATGAATTTTGTTGTTATTTGGTAGTATGTGAATGACTAAATACAAATTTATGTTGTCATATATATATATATATATATATATATATATATATATATATATATATATATATATATATATATATATATATATATATATATATATATATATATATATATATATATATATATATATATATATATATATATATATATATGGTTCAATAAAATATTTGTAAAAAATCAAATCAACCAGACCGAACCAAACCGCATTGATTTGGTTTAATTTTTTATTAAATATCAATCAAACCAAACAAATCGCATTTTTCTCTCTTGCGATTTGAATGATTTTTAACATCAAAACCACTCAAACCGCACCGCAAACACCCCTACTAGATTCAATACCGAATCTTAACCAACTTCTTTTAAGTGTGCTCTAAACTATTGATCATTGATAGCTTTAATGGTAACAAAGAAAAACAATGCTCTAATATCATTTCAATATAATAAGTCTAATGACACAAAACATCTTGGCATTCATTGAAATCAATCCAATCTTAGCTATAAAATCTATGGCTTCCAACTTCCAGAACTCAATTCAGAATTCAAATCTCTTTCTTTGATACCTCCGGCTTTCAACAAGTCTCTTTCTATATCAAGATTTACCTCAGCAGCAGCCAATTTTGCCTTTAGCGTCTCTATTTCCATCTCTAGATCTGCAACATTACCTTTCAGTTTTTCAACCTCAAGAGCTTTCTCCACATAACTTCCAATTCCTAAACCAGATTGCACTTGTGGCTCTAGCCAAGTAAGATCAAATTTAAATTTTTTAAGTTCATCCCATAAAACTTGAAGTTCTTTACATGCTTGTTCGTTCAGGTCTTTCACTTTTTTAGTGTTAAGGAAATGTATAACTTTCCCCATTGCAGCATACCCCAACTATGCGTCAGCTGGTTTAGAAGTTTCAATGCAAGCTAAATTAGAAATTGTTGAAAGAGTTTCCTGATTTGTGATTTTTGGCTCTGGAATTTGGACTTCCATGTGACCAGTTTGTGTTATAACTAATGTTGTACCCCAAAATTTGCCCTCCCATATTCATCAAAGATTTGTCAAGTCAAGGTCACAAAATTCCCCAAGGGTTGTGCAGCTCAACTGTCTCCTAGACAGTCAAAACTAGGGTTTGAGTTCTGGTCAAGCAAATGAACTTTTCAAAGGTCCAATCAAGTCTCACATGCTTAAAAAGATGGTCAAGTGTCTTCATGACAAGTTTCAAGGCATTCAGCTCAAAATTGCACAGTCAAAACCCTAGATTGCACTACAGTCAACTGTAGGGGCAAAATGGTCATTTGGCAGTCAAAAGTTCAAATTTTTGGTCAATATATCATTTTGAAGCCACAAACATCATTTGATCAATGCTTGATCATGATTCTCAAAATTGGGCTCAGAAATCATCAAAGATACAAAAGTTGCTATATTTGGACAGTTGAAAAAGTCAACTGAAATTGACCAGGGCATAACTTTCACATGGATTATCAGAAAAATTCCATCCAAAGCTCATTTTGAAGAGAAAGACATTTCCTACAATTCATCTTCATGTTCCAAATCCAAGAAATGCTCTCACAAAAAGTTATCAATTTCAACATTATAGGTCATTTTCAAAAGTCAACAAAAAGTGACTTTAAGTCAAAGGCCATAACTTGAGATTGGTAAATCAAAATGACATGGGACCAAAGGCATTGGTTAGAGGACTCAAAGACCTTTCCAAAATGTCCAAGAACATGTGAAAAGCTTAAAAATTGACCAAGTTATGCCTTGTGGAAGTTGGGAAATTTTTAGGAATTTTGAAAAGTCAACATTGATGCAAAAGGCCTAAAAATGCAAATGGGCCTATTTTCCTTCCAAATTTCTTCATGCCAAGCCTATGCACGACCACTAGGCCCAAAGGGAAGTATTTTCATATTTTTTAATTATTTATTTGAATTAATATTAATTTATATTCATTTAAATCATTTTAATATATGAAAAATATCAAACTTAACCTAAAAAATCTTTTCATGCATGTTTAACCTCAATATTTCGTGCTTGATTGATTATGGCAAGTTTTGATAAGATTTGAGCATGATTGAACCAAAAGCCATGAGAAAAAGATTTGAAAAAGATCTTGTAAAATCAAATATTGAAATTCATCAATGCATAAGATTTTGTCCAATTTTTCTTAACCTAATCACTCCATATATGATCAGCATCACAACCCTAATGCTCTAAGACTGAAAGCTGCGCCCAAAACAAGCATTGCATATTGAAATTTTTCACAAAAAACTCAAGACTGAAATCTAGCTTTTAGGTCGATTCAAGCTTGGGTTTTTGTTTCATTAGCATCCTGAGACATCCCTAAACGTTTCTCAATCAAAAACAACAAGCCAAACGCCTTGAAACGGTACCTGGAACTCAGACTTTGTCACAAAAATTTCCAAATTGCATATCATAATTTACGCATCATTGTATATTTTTATTCATGAATTATTGTTCAATATGAAATTTGCAAGCTAACCATAACTTTTGATTGAAGTTTCGTGCGTTTTTGGCCAAGTTACCATGTTTGCTCTTTAGGGTTTTCAGAAGAAAAAAATTGGGGCTTTGTCAATACAATAAAATTGGCCATTGAAACCACCATGGTTGCACTCAGCGTGTTCCTCTGGACAAGACACATACCTCGCGATGGATTTATATATCAAGGAGGGCTATTCGCTATTTTCTTGAATACCCCTAAAGCAATGTTTCAAAAACCGTTGCTCTTTTGTTTTATGTTACAGGGGTGGTGAGGAAGAAGATGGCGTGTCAATCAGTGATACGTCCGTTTAAAATTTCGCGCGTGTTTAACTAATTAGCATTATGTTTCTTTTATATTATTTGCGTTATATTATATATTAACTAAATGCGCTTGGTTCAGTTGGTAACGTGTGACGTGAATAATCCTCAAGACCTGGGTTCAAGTCCCAGGTCTGGCAAAATTCCAATATTATTTTTCAATAATTGTTCATATGCAGCACTATTATGGAAGTTCACCATACACACTCAAATCTCATCTAGCCACGCGTCCTGGAGAGCATATCAAGGGCGTAGATCAAAGATGTACCACATGCACCAGTCAATGCATCATACCTAATTGGAAAAGTCAACGAATCCAAGGCTTGTTGGACCTGAATTGCTGGGCCTAAACCTCCTTATTTGGGGCAACACCCCACTCTGGTTTGCTTTCATTATTTTTTTAATTATTGTGTGATTTATTTTTGTTGCTTTAATTAATTAATTTTTTTTTTCTTTTTTTACAAAATATAAAAACATTATAAAAATCAGAAAAAGACCAAAAAATAATATCTATTTTATTATAATCATTTTATTAGCATGTAAATAATTTAGGTTAATTAGGTTATAGTTTTAATCTTTTTTATAATAAAAAACACCAAAAATAGAATTTAGGTTTAATATCTTTTTGTTTTCTTTTTTTTAATTTTCCCTTTTTCCACCATAATAATTATTATTTATTTATTTATTTTTTATAATCAAAATTGTGTATAAGTTAATTTAGGGTTTAATTTAGGTTGATTTAATTCCTTTCATAATAAATAAAAAAATACTAGAATTAGGGTTTGTCTTTTAATTTAATTTCAATTAATTTCTTTTCTCATAAAATATAAAAAAATACCAAAAAAAGCATTTAATCATTTAATCATTTAATTTTTAATTCTCATTAATTTTAATTGTTTGCAAAAGGGTCCAACGCCCTAATTTTGTTAATTTCTTTATTTCTCGCATTTACTTTTTATCGTTTATATAATTATGTAATTGTCCCAAAGCATTGTAATTTAAATTTCTCGCACTTTTATTTTATTGCTTTATTTATTTTCCGCTAAATCGGGTCCGGTTTAATTTTGGCGATGTGGACCCGCGCCTTTGTAATAGCCTTAGATTTATTTTTTCCCGCGAATTTTATAACTGTTAATATGCATGCCAGAATGAATGGACAAATTAAAATCAAGCGTAGAACACGATAAACATGACAAGACAAATAACTGAAACATGACACACAATTCGCACACACCACCCCTAGGGTACGCCTCAATGTTGCCTTTCGAAAGGTGATCGTCGAGTAGAGGATGTCTTAGTAAGTCCTCATGATTCGGGAACCTGGCATGAGGGTAGCTTCTAAGGTGTCTTCCTATTGCTCCAGTGATCACCACGTCCCTAAAACTCGAATTGACCCGAACACCTCCAACGGTGGTCCTACCTACCTCTCAATGGTGGGATGGCACTACTTTAAAGGACATTTACACAGACGAATTCCTTAGGGTAGGTAGGTTCTCGTAGATACTTGCTCTCTTTAAAAACAAAACAAATCAAAATCTTTTCACACCGACACTTTTCAAAAGCTTTCAAAACAACTTTTCAAACACTCTGACATACGAGTCGAACTGAAATTTTTCAAAGAAACTTTTTTAACCCACATTGAAAAGCAAGAAAACAATTTTGAAAACACATTGAGCAAGTATCTAAGAGCCCATGGATAACCATGGATAGAAAGGGTGCTAACACCTTCCCTTTCTATAACCTACCTCCCGAACCGAGAGCAATCTCTATAAGGAATTTTTCTGTGCTTTTGTCCTTTCCTATTGGAGAAAATAAAAGACGGTGGCGACTCTTGCTTCCGCGACATTTCGCGAACCAGCTTTTAAACAGTCAGTTCCAGATCCACCAATCACAGAACTGGCGACTCTGCTGGGGAACATCTTTAAAGTGAGGTGTACCTTAGGACTAAGATCACTGTGTTTTCAATTGCTTTGACTTGTGTGCTTTAAATTGTGGGACTGTCTTGGGAGTTCTATAGATCCTAACCCGGATCTGGGGATACCTTCTTAGAAAGTAGCAACAAGGCTGTGAGGGAACTGTGCGGGGTATACCGACATGGTTGAAACAGTCTGCTACGTTGATGTGGCACTTTGGTGTGTACCGGTAACCCTTGAGTTCAGTCAAGGAGAGTACGGGGCCTCCGCGTGGTGTCGTGAAGCATCAACAGACCTTAGGAACCTTAATTGAACAATCTTGGCCTCTTTAGGGTAGTGAGATAACTGACTTTGGTACAGTCCGAGGTTGGTTGATACTCGATACTACGCTCGATTGAGGGTTGCTTTCCTGGAATATTTCGGTCGCCAGTTCAGTGGCTAAATCGAAACGATGAACAATGAAAGCAATCCCGTGATATTGGGAACCTTAGAACCCGGTCACTTTGATTAGGACAGGTATGAACCCACCAACTTCAAGAGGGTACTACCCGGACCCCATGCTGACCCTAAACTCTAAGGGCTCTTTTGTGTGACTTGTGTGCCTTCGTACTTGACTATCTGCGTGCTTGTTACCTAACACTTGTTTCTTGCAGGTCTTGTTTATAGTCCTTAATTGGGACTCATAACAGGGTACTAAGTTTTCTTGCAGGTCTTGTTTATAGTCCTTAACTAGGACTCATGACAGGGTTTACCAAATCTCTTGCAGGTTTTGTTTATAGTCCTTAATTGGGACTCATAACAAAATACACTGAATTTCTTGCAGGGCTTGCAGGGTCTGTTTATAGTCCTTAATTGGGACTCATAGCAGGGTTTACCTACATCACCCCATGCATAGCATGACATCATACCATCATACCATTGCATACATCCTAACCCGTTTCAAGGATCTCAAGGGCTTGTGATGCAGGTCATGATAAACCAATTACCCAGCAAGGGGCAAAGAGGATTTATTTTCCTCTAGCTAAGGTTGTCAGGGGCTATGACCCACTGGATATGGTGAGCCTTTGACCCTTGAAGAAGAATTCTCAACAACAAGGGTGTCCTTCAATCAAGCTATAAATTCCAATGCTAACAAATTTTCTT